ACGGAGCAAGTCCCTTAAGAAGGGAGAATCAAGTAATGACAAATGATTGGGTAAAGGTGTTCTTATTGTAACTACCATGCACTTGTGGCAGAGAGCCGAGGTGCGGTAAAGCGTTGAGCTCTGCCCTGTGTCCCGTGTATACATACCCTTACACTGTTCCCCCCCCCCCCCAAAGTCATTCACTTGTGAATGATGAAGGAAAGATGGGGAATGTATGAATGGTCACGGCCAAGGTGGAAAGACATGGCGTGATCATGCATTGTGACTGTAGTCGAGGTGAGAGAGTGTGGTCATGCGTTTTGGTCCGTAGCTGAGGTAAAATGCATGGCACGAAGTCGTGTTATGGCCACAGCCAAGTGATGTGACGTACTCACTGTGGCCGTAGTCGAGATAACATTGGTGACATGAGGTCACTATGGCTAGAGTCGAAGTTAAATGAGTGAACTTTAGGTCACTATAGCCGGAGCCTAAGTAGAATGAGTGACTTGAGGTCACTGTGGTCGGAGCCAAAGTTAAATGTGGACACTTAGTAATTTTGTGGAAAAAACATATATGAAGGGGTTCAAAATGGGCCTATTTATGAAGTCCTAAAGCCGGTTAATGTACCAAACGACAGTTGTCATTGAAGGACGTGCAATAATAAATACGGTATGTAAAAAGTAACCGTCACATTTGAAAGGACGCGACGGTAAATTAAACAGCGAATTTGAAAGGGCAAGGTCATGACTATTTGATGAAATTGATCGTGATGTGTTTGCCGTGATATATATATAGCCACACTTAATGTGAAAATCTAATTTCTTTTGCTGCTAATATTGTGAAAACGCTCACCGAGTTTTCTGCGTTTTGCTATGTTCATTCCCTTTTAGCCCAAATTAGGTAATTTGTGAGCGTCTTGTTTCTTCCTTTCTTTATAGTGAGAACGTCTTCTAAAGAGATGGTCAGTGATGAAAGGGTTGGGGGGAGGTTTGAGGAGGTAGAGGGGAGGGATTTGGGGGTGCCCCAAAATATTTTGGACAGAGAAGATGAAAGGGAGGAGTGTTTCAACCCTGAGGAGGAGATTGTTTTCGAGGTTATGGGGTATGAGACATCTTTGGAAAGCAGCAGTGGTTTAGCCCACTTAGTTGAAAATTATGGGGTGCTTGGGCATGTGTTAGTGAGGCCGGCAGGGAGGAGAGAGATGGCTTGTTCAGCTCCGGGAGACCATTGGATGCCCACGTATTCCCATTACATGACGGCTGGACTACGGTTCCCCATCCCAGGCCTGTTGGTGTGGTTGTTGATGGAGTACGGTTTAGGGTTGACATAGCTTATCCCAAATCCTGTGAGGCTAGTAATAGCCTTTGCAGTGTACAGTCGAGTTCAGGGGGTGCCATTCCCTATTGTGAGTGTGTTTAAGTATTTTTATGTGCTGAATGCTGGGAGTGGTAAGGAGAAGGGGTGGTACTATTTTACGGGTTGGGTAGTTAATAAAAGGAAGAGAGGTTTGTTCAGTGTTAGGCCATCTTCCATCAAAGGATAGAAAGATAAATTCTTTTTTGCGGATGACACTGAGTGGGATAAGACGGATGCTGAGGTGGAGAACTTGAGTCGGTGGAAGGCAAAAGGGTTGAACCTCAATGAGTATAGCCTGACATCGGGGGAGTTAGAGGATGTGAGGATGTTGGAGAGGGGGGGGGTGGAGGTGTGCTAGATGTTATGGAGTACACAAGCTAAAGGATGTTAGATGCGGCTGAGATATATGGGCCGACCTCGCGAAGCGGAGGTGTGTAATTTAACTGTTTGTTTCATTGAAAAATTCTTATAAGTGTTTTAACCTTATTTTGTTTTGCAGAAGAGATGAACAAGTTTTTGGAAGCAGCCGGTGGAGTTGGCATCCCTAAGAAGGGGAGGGGGAAGAGGGCCGAGGTGGGAAGGTGAGGTGAGGGGGCCTGTTCTTGCAAAGAGGAGGAGAATGGAGCAACAAAATGCTAGGGAGGAAGTGATGGAACCTGCCACTTCGTCTCTTCCTATTGAGGCTGGGCCTTCAACCACAGTTGCTGACGTTGCAGTTGCACTTCGGGAGCAGGGGTATATCCGTCTGCAGACAACAAGCTTCTATGATTCTGGGATGAGAAGCATAGCAAAAAGATTCATCAACGCCTACTTCCCGGAGGTGGATCGCCAATGTGCAAAAGATAAGGTGGCGGCCAGAGGTTCAGTTGGGGTGGTGCGTCAAGCCCTTGAGGTATGATACTCTTATCCTATTGTGTATCATAGAAATCTTCTTAATTGTTTGGTAACTTAAGCTTATCCTATTGTGTAGACTGTGAACCTCGTGAATGTATTGTCGAATGAGCATCACGAGAGTTTGAGGGATAGAAATCAGTTAAGGAAGGAGAATGTCGAGCTTGTCAAGAAGAACGAGGAGGCCGAGGTCAAGGTGGCAAAACTAAAAACGGAGATGGAAGAACTTAGAAAGGAGAATGCCACTCTGAAGAAAGACTCAGAGCTCTCGTACAAAAAAAGAAAAATCTGCGAGGATGAGCTTGAGAAGAAAGAAAAAGAGTTGGACGAGGTGGTGAGGGTAGCAGCTGAGCTGGAGCTCAAGGTTCACAACTCTGTTGAAGAGCACGTGGCAGGGTTTTTGAAATCCAACACTTTTGAGGATATTGTCAAACTCTACTGGCTCTCTACGACAATTGTAGCCTTCTTTGATTGCCAAAAGAAGGTGAAGTTGCAGTATCATGATGTGGATGTGACAAAAATCACATTCAGAGATCAGGAGGGAGAAGTGGAAGAAAATGGCTAAAGTAGTACTGTTGACTTTCGTCCTGAGGTTATGCTGAAGTGGAACAAAGAGAACAAAGGTCGAACCATTTTACCTTCGAACTTCAGTTTTGAGTTCATACCGGCGGGTGATGAAGGGACCGAAGGTGCTAACAACCCAGATCAGCCTGCTGAATAACTTCTCATTTCGTTCAGCTTTGTAAAAATAATTGTTTGTAAATGATTAAAGTTTTATTTAATAAATTCAGTTCAACATTTTAATGTGTTGGTTATGTTTTTGTGGTGGTTTGAACTGTGAGGGGTTAAACAAAACTTGTCAATTGCACTGAGGTGGGAGAAATGAAACTGACTTCATCTTTAACTTTATTAGGACATCAAATGTTACAAAAGAAGGATGTCTAATACAAATAGTGAAATGGGGAACTTCCAAGGGTGGAATTTCTTAAGGTTGTTAACATTCCAAACCCTAGGCACTCTCTTGCTTTCAGAATCTTGGAGAATCTATGCATCGGGGTGTGGGATTTTGGTCACAATGTATGGGCCTTCCTAATTCGGTGCTAGCTTGCCGAAGGGGGTCTCGAAACCTGTGAGCCTGGCCTTTCTAAGGACTAGGTCACAGATTCTGAAGTTTCAAGGTCGAACCTGTTTATTGTAAAGGGTAGCTGCTTTCTACTTGTATGCAAGCATTTGAAGTCGGGATTGCTCTTAGACTTCGGCTAAGAAATCAAGGTTTTCTCTAAGTAGCTGCTCATTTTGAATTGGTTCAAAATGGCTGACTCTTAATATCGGAACACCAATCTCGTCAGGGATAACTACCTCGGTGCCGAAGGCCAAGTGATAGGGTGGTTCACCTATTTGAAGGAGACTATAGTTTTAGGATTTATTTTACGGGGCAGTTTATAAGTTAAGTAAAATAATGGAAGGGGAGATTAAAGTCAAGGGTGTACCTGTGGCAGTTTGGCTCGTAGTTTGGTAGGCCCATAGGACGTTATTAAGCTCATCTACTCATTTTGCTTTCAACTTATCTAACCTTGGCTTGATTCCCTCCAAGATGACTTTGTTAGCTGATTTGACCATTCCATTAGCCTCGGGATGATAAAAGGAAGTGAATACTAGCTTAATTCTGTAACTGGAGCAGAAATCTTTAAAGGAGCTGCAGTTGAACTGGGGACCATTATCAGCAATAATCTAGTTCGGTATCTCATATCTGCAAATGACTGAACTGAAAAGAAAGTCCTCAATTATTCTTAAAGTCAAATAGGAGAGAGGCTGGGCTTCTACCCACTTAGTGAAGTAATCAACGACAACAACCAAGTGTGTTGCTCCCCCCATTGCTTTGACGAAAGGGTCTAGAAAATCTATTCCCCATTAAGCAAAAGGCCAAGGTGCGACTATGTTGGTGAGTTCTTCAGTTGGTTGATGGGTAAGATGAGTGAAAAATTGACACTTCTGGCACTTCTGTACAAACTGCTTTTCATCCTCTTGCATGTTGGGCCAATAGTACCCCTGCCGGAGTACCTTATGGGCCAAAGTTTGAGCTCCCACGTGGCTTCCGCATACCCCTTCATGAACTTCTCTTAGTGCATATTCAGCTTCATATGGCGTTAGGCATCGGAGGAGAGGTAATGAGTAAGACCTCTTGTATAAGACATCACCAACTAGGGTGTATCGTGATGCCTTTCTCCGTAGCCTCATCTCTTCCTATTTGTCCATTAGGACAGTTCCATCTAGGAGGTATACTCTGATGGGGTCTGTCCAGCTGGGAGCTTCTTGATCGGTGCTGATTTCCATTACCTTTGATGTCTGAAAGCTTGGTTCATTTAATATCTCGATATAGACAAATTTCACCCCCTCAAGCTATCGGATGCTAATTTTGACAAAGAATCTGCATGCTCATTCTTTGCTCTCGGGATCTTTGTAAATTGGAATTTTTCAAAGTGACATTTCAGCTTAGAGACTTCGGCCACATACTTTGCAAGTGTGGGATCTGTGACCTCGCACATATAATTGATTTGATTGACCACCAATTGTGAGTCACTATATATTTGCAGGTGCTTGATCTTCAGCTCAGCTGCCAAGTGCAGTCCCAGGAGGAGTGCCTCGTATTCGGCCATGTTGTTTGTGGCGTCAAAATTGAACTTTAAAGCATGTTCACTTCAGAAATTGTCATGCTCGGTCAGTATTGCTCAAGCTCCTGAACCCTTGCTATTAGATGACCCGTCGACATAGAAGGTCCATGTTTCGACTTCGGAACTTGGTCCCTCTTGATCAGAAGTGCATTCTACCATGAAGTCTACCAAAACCTGAGCTCGGATTGCCGACCCCTATTGGAACATTATCTAAAACTCTCCCAGCTCTACTGCCCATTTGATGAGTCTTCCGGAGCACTTTGGGTTTTGTAAAATCTGTCTTAAAGGTTGATCAGTCATCATGATAATAGGGTGGGATTGAAAATATGGCCTTAACTTCCTTGCAGTAACAACAATTGCTAGAGCTGCCCTTTCTGTTATGGAATACCTCTGTTTAGCTCCTTGTAGCTTGTTGGCATGGTATACTGGTAACTGCTATTTCCTCATTTCCTTGACCAAAACAGAACTGACAGCTATATCAGATATCTTGAGGCAAAGATAAAGAATTTCACCTTCTTTAACCTTAGTCAGCAGAGGTGGCGAGTTAAGGTAGGCTTTGAGCTCGTTGAAGGTTGCTTGACCGTCTGTAGTCCAATTAAACTTCTGGGGCTTTCCTGTCTCGTCCCTCTAGGCTGCAGCTCTCAAAACCTTAAAGAAGGGCAAGCATTTATCCGATGATTTAGAGATAAATCTATGTAGAGCTGCTACCCATCCAGTTAGACATTGCACATCTTTGATTGACCTTGGCGGTTTCACCTCCTCTACTGCTTTTATCTTCTTAGGATTGACCTCTATCCCCCTTCTAGAAACCTTGAAACCCAGAAACTTGCTTGATTTAACACCGAAAGTGCATTTTGTTGGATTCAACTTCATGCTGTATCTTCTAAGATTGTTGAATGTCTCAGCCAGGTTAGTCAGGTGATCTTCTGCTCAAGGACTTTTGACTACAATGTCATCCACGTAAACTTCCAGGTTTCTACCTATCTGAGCTCGGAACATGATTGTTACCATTTTCTGATATGTTGCTCCTGCATTTTTGAGCCCAAACGGCATCATCACGTAGCAATAAATTTCATCCCTAGCATAAAATGAGATTTTCACTTCGTCTTCGAGTGCCATGTGAACTTGATGATACCCCGAGTAAGCATCTAAAAGGCTCAATCTCTCATTTCTTGAGGCAGCCTCTACCAGCTTGTCTATGTTAGACATAGGGTGATAGTCCTTAGGGCAGGCGTCATTGAGATTGGTGTAATCGATACACATTCGCCACTTGCCATTTGACTTTTTTACTATAACAGGATTAGCGAGCCATTCACAGTAATCTACCTTCCTCACAAATCCAGCTTGTAATAGTTTCTGCACTTTTTCTCTAATAGCTTGCAGTCTTTCTCCTCTGAACAGACGTTTCTTCTAAGTTACTAGTTTCTTCAGAGGATTGGTGCTTAACTTGTGCACCACAACCGAGGTCAAGACTCCGGGCATGTCGGCTGAGGTCCATGCAAACACATCCTTGTTTGCTTTCAAGAAGCTGATGAGCTCCTTTCTTTCCCTCGGTTTTAGTCTTGTCCCAATTTATGTCATAGTGGGATCATTATCCTCTATTTGCACTTCTTCCGTTTCTTCTACCGAGGCAGCCTTGGCTTTGTCATCCAGTCTGTTATCTAGTAACTCCACACCCATTACTTGCTGAGTACTAGGTGCCTCTGATTGCACTGGTTTTGGTAACTGAACTGATTCCTTATCATTTCGAGGTCGGTTGATCGATGTCATATATCAGTGTTTGGCCACTTCTTGGTTTCCCTTCAGAGTCGCAATTCCCATAGGTGTGGGGAACTTCATGTACAGATGAGATTGTGTGACAACAGCTCTGATTTCTATTAAGGTGGGCCTCCCTGCTACTATGTTGAAAGTTGAGGCCATTTTCACAACTAGAAATCAAACTGAGAGGGTGACATACGTTCAGCCTGAACCGAAAGCCACGTTGATCTTTAATACCCCTTCAACGGGAACCAGCTAATTGTTGAAGCCATAGATAGGTCCATCATATTTTTGCAAGAGAGCTGAGCCGAGGCCAAGCCTCTCAAAGCAGTGGTAATACATTATATTTAGGGCACTTCTGGTGTCAACAAGGACACGATGGACTTCACAATTGTTGACAATGACTGTCATGACCAGCGGGTCATTATGGGGTGTGACGACGTTGCCGAGGTCAGCCGATGTGAATGTTATGGGTTGGTCTTTCCACCCTTCGTCGTGGAGCTTCCTTCTCTGAGCTTAATTTTAATGCCTAACCTCCTTCACGTAGAGCTTCTGCTGCTTTGAGCTCATCCCCCCTACCTCTAGCCCCCCATTTATCATATGAATGATTCTGGCTGGTGTGGGGAGAGGAGGTGGAGGTTGTTGGTACCCGACCCTCGTCTTGTTAGAGGCACCTTGGGGCCCTTGGGATTCTTGGCGCTGTTCCCTTACAAATCTCGAGTGGTCTTTGTCAGGCATAAACTCATTCAACATCTCCTTTCGTGCTAAGCTTTCAAGTTTGGACTTCAGCATATTGCATGCTTCTATTGTATGGCCGTGATCTTGGTGGTAGTCATAGTATTTAGTGTGATCTCTGGAGGTGGGTAAGCTCCATATGGGTTGTGGCCTTTTGAGATCCATTTTATTTTTTATTTGCATTAAGATCTGCGACCTCGGTAGTGTAAATGCAGACCAAGTGGGCTGCCTCCCTATGACCTACGAGGTACTCACACGAGGTTTGTTAACCTTGGCGGTTGAGAGCGGACCTCGGTTCTGAATGGCTTTGAATTTCTTCTTGCTCGGCCCTTCTTCTTTCCATGTGGGACTTCTACTGTCCTTAATGGTTAAGGGCTTCTCTGACAGCACATATTCTTCTATAGTGATGAAATTGCGAGATCTTTTATTGACCTCTTCAAATGAAGCAGGGGGTGTTTGATCAAATTGTCTCGAAACCGCTCATGGCCAAGCCCTTGTGTGATGGTGGCGATTCCCACAGCTTGGTCAAACGAATCGATCTCTAGCACAGCACCGTTGAACCTATTTATGTAATTTTTTAAGGATTCTCCTTCCCTCTGGTCCACTCACATAAGCTCGACTGTTGTTTTCTTAATCAGCCTCTAACTAGAAAATTTGGTGGCGGAGGCCATTGCCATCTTGACATATGAGCTGATTGAGTTTGGTTTTAGAATATAATATCAGGTTCGAGCATTAC